CAGCGCTGATTGGCTTGGCCTTGGCCAGCGGCGGGTCCATCTTCGAGCCGGCTGGCACTGGCTTTATCAGATACGGGGGAAGCTTCTTGCAGCCTCTCACAGAAGCCACCCCTATAGGCCCCTGCTACCAAAATCTTGCCACGCAAACCCATAACACTGTTGATTCAGCAAGCTCCTGGTGACCGTTCCTAAAACTGCTGCATTATCTTCCAGACTTCAGCAGTCATGATCACTTGACTGAAGCCACTCTGTAGTGTGCCAATCAACATTGATTTAATTTCTTTTAACCCACTTCTAGTAAGTTGCTTAATGTAGGATTTTTAGTGGCTTTTGGAGCAGCATTGTTTTTTAAGCAACGCTGGCTACAGTGAGGTTCTGTCCTGTGAGTGGAGCTAAAACACGTTGCACTAATGCAAATAAAACTCTGCATTAGACACCCTAGCAGGAGTTCTTGTCTGCTTTTAACTTAAAACCATAATAATGTTCCTTCTCAAGGTTCAAAAGACTAAGTAAACAACTTTGAGAAGTAAGATTTGTTTTTATTTCCTTCTATTTTTTACTTTCCACTGTGTTTCTCTTTTCAGTTATGCCAATGTAAAGAAGTGCAGTAATGAAGGACGTGCCTTGATGCAACTGGACTTTCAACAATTCTTAATGAAACTGGAAAAGTTAACAGACATTAGGCCTATTCCAGATAAAGAATTTGTGGAGACCTACATTAAAGCATACTACCTAACAGAAAATGACATGGAACGCTGGATAAAAGAACATAGGGTAAGAGTTAAATTTTTTTAATTCTTTTACTGTCTGTTGGGAAGTTTCACCACGGTGATAGAATTATGCGAACAACTCTAAATGATCAGTGCTTCTGTGTTAAAAATGAATATATGCATATATGTGTACATATTCATTTATTATAATAAAATACATATACTGGGAAGCAATATAAATATAATTGTGTGTGTGCACATATATGTTCATTTTATTTATTATCATATGAAGTTAATATGTGTTTGTGCTGATTCAACATCTGAGGACTGGGAAGGATGTATAAGCCAGTCACCTCTACCTACTGTATCCAAAAATGTAGAGCACTAGAGCGAAGTGAAATTGAAAACATTTGTGTGCAGTTCGGAATATGCCAAAGTGCACAACTTTATTGTTGAGAAGTATGATTTGAAATCATGCCATGAAGTTGAACTTTGCCTTTATTTGCTTTAACTCATGTAAGGCACAATGGACAACAGTCATTGCTTTTCCTTCCTTCGTTTTATGATACTGAATCAGGATCAGCATGGATCTCTGAGCTGTCTTCATTTGTGTTTTGAAAGCATTTAGCATGCTTTCATGGTAGCATAACCTAACAATTACAACAGGACTACATAAGGAATAGTCACATGCTATGGGAGCTGCCCATTGTTAAAGTGAAAAGTCTTTGAAAATGGAGAGTTTTGAAATCTGTATTTTGAGATTACTTTAAATCCCACTAGAAATGGGTGAAAGAAGTAAGTTTTTAATATAATTTTCCTTGTTATACCTGGAGCCACAGGAGAGATTGTGAGCCGTTGTTTGGTGACCTACATGGAAAAGCTCTTGTTTAACCCTGCTGGTGGAAGCTATATTTTGGATAGTGTTAAGTATAAAGGTAGTACTGGCAAATGTGGTGTTCTGACAGGTGTTAAGAATTCTTGTCTTAACATTTTTGCTGTTTTTTTCTTCCTTTATCGTGTACTGGTATTAACATTGTTTGGAGACCCTGTAGACAGAAGTATTTAGAAGCTTACTGGAAATGAGAAGTCAAAATAAAAAAGGTCGACTTTTGTCAACATTTGTCTAGAAAAATGTTTTTGTGTTAAAAGCTTATCCCATTTGCATATGTATTTCCCACCACACCTCCCAAAGAATGGAAAATACATTAAAAATTGATTTAGATACGTGTTCACATTTAGATACGTATTCACAGAATTAATTTCTGTGAACTCTGTCCAGCACTACACAAGTCGTAAGCATTTTCCATTATAGTCTGCCATGTAGCAAAATACAGTTTTGTCTTCTGCCTCAACTGTGAGAAATATCCAGACCTGACTTAACTGCCACTTTAAATCTGCCTTGTTTACTGACTGCTTCTGTCGGTTGAAAAGTCCACAGTGTGTATGTCTGCATTTTTAAATTTTCTGTCTTTGTCCAGTGTTTTATTCTGTCATAACATCATCTGCTTTTATTTGCCAGGAATATTCCACTAAGCAGTTGGCCAACCTGGTGAATGTTTGTCTGGGGTCCCACATCAACAAAAAGGCAAGACAGAAGCTGCTAGCTGCTATTGACGACATAGACAGGCCTAAAAGATAACTGGAGAAAGCTACTTTCCTTGTGACTTGCACCTTTTTCTGTTCATGTGAAGCACGCAGACAAATCTCTCGTGAACTAATGACAACATTCTCTTAAAAAAACATTGTGCATGACTTTTCTTACCAGCATTGGAGACACTCTGAAGTGGCGTAATGTTCTAAAATATGACTTTTCCAATCTGTAGAATTCTTTTCTGTTGTATTTCTTCCTTTTTTTGTTTTGTTTTTGTTACTTGCCCTTAGTTAAGGGCCCCTGTTTGTGTATCATTGGTGAGCTGTATATTTTGCAAAACTGTATACTGTAAGTAAAATCAAAATCAGAGAAAAACACATTGGCTTAATATATAGTTGATACTCTTTTTTAACAAAAGGGTGGGCTACTTGAAAATATGATTCCTTTCCTCCCTGCTTTCACCCTCAGAACATGTGCTTTATTATGGACCAGTGTAAAATGAAAGGAAATGTACAATATTTGGTTGATGTAACTTGCATGTGGATTAAGAGTGCAGATCAGCTAAATACTCTCACGTTAAAGCCTCCTATCTTCATATGTATTTAAACGTATCTGTTTATTTCAGAATTAATTTAGTCATATCAAAATGATTGACTTCAGATTAATAGAAGGTAATAAATGCTGTACACTAATATGATTTCTTTGTGAGACTATTTTTTCCGAATTCAACAATGCAAAATGTCATTTACAGTAGAAATTAGAACTGTTCCTTTCATATCACTTCTCCTTTGACCCTCTGCCAGTCTTTCCTGTTCTGAAGCAAGAATGCTGGGGAATAGGAATAATGGTTTTTTGGCTGAAGTTTTGGATTGATGCTAAGATAATATTACAATTTCCTGCTCCGCTATAGACACCTGGGAGTTCCTGAGCAAAGCAAAATTGCCTGGCTGCATATTTGTCCTAGAAATCTCTTTGTCAGAGCATCAGTGACCCCACTGAAGTTTTCAGGTTTACGTTTGGTTTTCAGTATCTAAAGTTTTAGATTGGTTTTTTTAAATGACATAATAAACTTTTTGCAGTACTCTCTCACATAAGCTACAATCCAGTAATGTATTCAGCGTGGTAAGCTCACAGTTTCGGGTTCAAACTTGCCATTGTACTTTTAATTCAAACATGAGAGAATCAGGACCTACTGAATGACCTAGTGACAGAAAATTGCCCCGTGGAATCATTATAATTGTTCTTTTCTGTAGCTTAATTTCCTCTTCAGAAGTGGACTCAGCATCATTCTACGAGTTCAGTGAAAGCCTGTATACAGTTTTAGAAGAATGATAGAATTTGTATTTTAAATACTGGCTGTGTAGTATTCAGCTCCCTTGTTCATATGTATTTTAAAGGAAATAAGATTTAAAACAAAAGTTAACTCCATTCTTTATTGACCATGCTGTCATGCTGAGATCTGTTTAAAACTTGTTTAGCAGTGTGTCAATGTATATGTTCAAGCTGAATCACTTTTACCCTCATAAAAAAGGTGGTTCAAAAAAAGAGAAGTGTAGTTCATTTTGAGAGTGTGGACTTCTGCGTCAGTGTATCTGCCCTGAAGTCAGATCCTGTACAAGAACTCTTGGAAGAAATAGAAACGTGTTGGAGATGATTAGTGTAAAATCTGTTTCAGTTTTTCCTCTCATGGATGAAATAAGAAATTTAAATATCTTTACCGGAGCTTTGGTGAGCTGAACACGTGTTTCATTTCTCCTGAACTATTTAAGTTGCTCTAATTTGATTGCTTACCAAAAGGTAGGAGTATAAACACTGGTTGGAATATAGGGTCAAGGAAGGAGGTGAGGAATTGCATGAATCAGAGTCAGGAGTTATTTTTTGTAGTGTATTTTTAGTTTGACTTGTTATTTTTAAGTAAGCCCCCAAATAAAAGAATGTGTAAGATGCAGTGTTAAACCTGTGCAACAGCTGTTTGATCTTCATCCATATATGCCCCAGAAATTATTATATTTTCCAGAGGAGCCTCCTGTCGCTGCCCGGGATTGGTGCTAAGGGAGAAGCTACACAGCTTAATGGCCTACATATGCTCTCAGTTACACGATTTAACTTTCAGGTTTCCCTGTGTGGAGTCAGGAATTGGACTTGATGATCCACATCAGTCCCTTCCGACCGGTGATATTCTGTATTACTTGATCCTGAATGACTAATGAAGCCAAGTTTTGGCTGAATGTTGAATTATTAGTGTACTAAGTAGTTTGTATCCTCTGGTACGAGAATTCTTTAGAAACCATTGATTTTTGAGCATCTCTGTACATCTTCATTCTCCTATGGAATAAGAAACATACTGCTTTTTCTGCAGTGGAGAGTATGGCTTAAATATCTGTGATGTTTTAGAGAGGAGTGTTGTGGAATACTCTGATAATAGAAGATGTTTTCCTTCAGTCTCCAAGCAGAAAGACCAGCACTGTGGAGGTGGGCGATGCATCTGTCAGTCCTTCTGTAGCCTAATGCAGAACATAAATCCTGTTCCCCAGACAATGAGTACTCTGACATTCGCCAAACTCAGCTGGAGCAGAGATGACCAGTTTTCAAGTCTCTGGTTAGGCAAAGCCTGTTCCTACCCTGATGAGCATACGACTGGCTTTTCTGTGGTCAGCTCTCAGTTGCAGCTAACGGTGATGCTGTGCCCTGAAGAAGCCAGGTAGTGGCCAAAAAATAAGGGGAAGCCAACTGATCGGTTGCTGTGACCCTGGTGTAAGATTCAAGTTCTTGCTGTGGTGTAGGTTTAATTATTCAAACTAGAATGGCGTTGATGGGAAAGACCGTCTTGGATCATCAGTGCTGCTTCAGCTGATGGGATACCGCACAGTGCAGCCCCCGGAGGTGTAAATTTAAGTGTCTGATCTGGGCAGGGACTTGAATGCTCCAGGATTTCAGATTTCCAGGTAACTGACTGTTCTGGGGTCCCTTGTTCCTGTGTGGGAGAGAGTCTTCCCACGTGTCACATAAAAGCTTGGCTTGCTTCTGATCTGCAATGGGAAAAGCTAGTGCTTGGCCAGACCTTGGCAAATCCTGGATGTGGGGTGTAGGTTATAGCTTGTGAATACTGCTGAAGAAACAGTTGTACTTCTTTATCCCTGCTCCCTTAGGGCAGCAAAAGGGACAAGTGATCAGTGGCTGTCTCAAAGCTAACTGGGAAAGGTTTGCACCCCTTTTCATTTTTCACAGATGTGAATGACAAAGGCATGTCTTGTGATACGGAAGATGGAGCTTGTTTGATGCAAAGCTGTGCATATGGGTTGTGCTCTTCACTTGTCCTGCCATGGAACACAGAAAATTATAGATCTCCCTCTTTTTTCCTGTGCAAGTGATGTATTTGGGGTCTTTCCCCTTTGAGACCTTGCTTATGGATAACGTTTATGAAATTTCTGTATTGCAAGCTGTACTATGGTAACTTGAACTTTGACTAAAGCCAGTGTTTTAAAAAAACCCAATGAAACCACCAACAAAAAACCCCTCCACCTTGATAAAATTGATAAATAGTGCTGTCTCTTACCAAAATCCTCAAAAGGCCAAATGTTAGCAGGCACCTGCTAAATTATAAAGGATGCAAACAGAGATGGACCAAAAAAAAGCTGATTTATTGTGTGTGGGTGATGGTATCTGTTTTATTTATAACCACTGCCTGAAACAGCATAGCGTAAAGACTAAGCATTGCACCAGACACCAGGATTACGGTGCAAGTATGGAAATAACACAATTTGCAAACAGCAAAGTTTCCATGCTTGCTGGCTATTTAAGGATATTTTTGAATGCAATGTTTTTGCAGTGCAAGAGCTATTTTTGATCACAACAGGGACTTGGTTTTTGAGGACCTCCTGCTCTTCCATGAGATCCTGAAGTGTGATGTGGAGCAGCATCTTTAAACTATACTAAAGACTTCACAAATCTGTATTTTTTTTCTTAAATAGGCATTAAATCTATAACATGCCATGTGATACAGTACACACCTGAGAAACTAATGAGGAGATGAGTAACTTCTCTTAGTGTGTGGTGGATCCATTGCTAAACTTTAATTTGATGGGATAGTCTGTCCAGTCCCAGAGGGTTTACGTGTATAAGCTAAACTAAAAATGGTTGAATGTGACCTAAACCTGAATCTACTTGGCTGTCCTGTTAAAGAAATTTCCCCCAGTACCCCTCAGCTCTGCTGGGTTGGTCTGAAACTTTAGATCTGGTTATATGTGTAAAAGAAAAACAGCTTTCAGAGCAGAAGTGTGAGATCTATGTGTTACATTTGTAGATCATCTTGCAGAGATTTCGATATCAGATTTACTACTGTCATACAACTGTCTTAAGTGTGTGTTGATCTGTGAAAAACAAAATATACGAGGAAGCTGAAGATCTAGAAGAGATGCAGTGAAATACTTCTTTTCACTTGGCACAGAATTAATGGATGATCAGATGTGCAAAAGGACTGAAGGCATTTCTGAACATTTTTTTACAGGTAAATCCGAGGTTTATATTCGCGTGTATGTCCTGACCTATATCTCTAGTAATTTTTGTTCATAAGTACCATTATTCATAAATGTAAAGTCAACCCATTGATTGTATTTCGGTAAAGAATAAAATAGAAATGTCACCTCAGCCTTAAAATAAAATGGATCCTTGCCCAGGAAAGATGTTGTCAGGATTATGCTGCAGCTGCTGTCTGAGAGCTGCAGGGATTTTGTGTAGAATATGCACCATAGAAACTGTTCCTTTTGAAATTAATCTGTATATTATAGTGTAAATACATACATGCACACAGAGCTTTGTGTGCAATATAGTTCAACACTGGGGACCACAAAAAAGAATAGCAAAATTCAACAACAGCAACACATTATTTGTTCCTCTGCCATCGCTTACATTGCTAGCTGACACTGAAGCCTGGGTAGGTAGTGCAGAGGTTTTTCCTTGTGTGAGCAACTGGTGCCCATTGAGGGTAGGGTCATAATCTAGGTCTGAATTCCGATCTTTGAGTACATCTGAGTTACCGCACAGCTGGTTTTGCTGCTTACGTGTGCTGTGCAGGCAGTATCACGTGGAGGCCTGCTGAAGAGAAGCTCCAGCCCAGCCCGAGATGGTGTCAGCACCCGGGTGGACGCTGTTGGTGGAGTGTGATGCTCCTGCCCCCAAGCAGAGGTGGTGGACAGCCGTGCTTGCTGTGCTGGCTGCCCGCAGGGTTACCTGCTCCAAATACATGAAACTTGTGGGTTGGTGGATGGGCAGACTCAGGCTGACAGGTGAAGGTGTGTCAGCGTGTCAACACCCAGCTCGCTCCAGCACAGCTCACTGGACGGCGGTTATTATAGATGCAGTTATTAGCACAGCATGACGCACCTGGGAGTTTTCAGGACCGTTTATTGCTTGAAGTGTTGGAAGATGTCATCGATGTAAATGGGTTTGACTGGGGGCTGTTTCCTGGCCCTGAGCTGCCAACATCTGTCTCCTCCAGATCAGTCAGGGTATTTAAGCAGCCAAATGCTTCAACCAGTTGAGTGTTCATGGGCCTCTTACAATGTGCTACATTTCAACTAGGCAGAGTTGTTGCCATGAATAGCAATGCCTCATAGCTGTAGTAGCATTGGCCCTGCCTTCCCCCCTTGCACAAG